TGTGTGTGTATGTATGTGTGTGTATGTATGCCCGTGTGTGCGTGCGTGCGCGCGTGTGTGTGTGTGTGTGTGTGTGTGTGTGTGTGCGTGTTTCCTGTGTAAGCTGAAAGTCGCGAAAAATTATTGAAATAGCTATTACTCCAAGGGTTCAGGGGATCTCGTAGTCGAGTAGTCTCGACTAGAGCTTTCTTACTTGTTTATATTAATCTGGAAGCTTTCAGATATACATATCTCTCTTCACTCTGTATTCCTTATTAGTATAAAGAGGCCAACAGAAGTGAATCACTGAGTTAGGTGATCCTACGAGGACTATATAAATCAATAACGACTACGACAATTATTCAAACTGGGCAATCGAATAGAATATTACGTTACTGCTTATCACCAAACAGTTTTTCAACTTGATTAATTTATGTTTGATTAGCAGGCAACAATGCCACGAAAACGCAAGGAGGCGTCGAGCACTCAAATCTAGAGGCATGCAGGATGGAAGAGCACAAAGATAAGATGAAGAAAGGCATCAAAGCAATGCAGACATCCGTGTAACCATGGCAAGAAGCACGAGATGAGCCAAACTAGCAAAGACAATTAGGATGAAGAGAAGCGCGCAGATTCGTAGTCAAAAGCCGTAGAGGAATGTACCGACATGTAGGAACGACGTCAACAAGTAAATCGAGTATTTACAGCACATTCCAAAGTGGTCATTGGTACATTGGACAGAAATGCCCGCACTGCCATGCCATCAAATTTAAAAATGAGCCGATCGGGATGTGCTGCTCAGCAGGAAAAGTAATACTCCCAGAAATTGAAACACCGCCGGAACCATTGACGGCTTTTTTATTGGAACTGATCCAAATTCTTCGCTGTTCTTGCAGTCAATTCAATTCATGTTATCAAATGACATCTTTGGAGGAACGGAAATAGTTAAAAATGGTCAACAATTTAATTCCACATTCAAAATCAAAGGCCAATCGCGGGCATGCCCGTTGCAACTATAATAACTTCAATTCACCTTTTGCAACGCGCATCGTCAGCGAGCTGGACTCTCTGTTCGATGAGCACAATGATTTGTTCAGACCTACGCGACCTGCACACAAAATTTCGTGAGAATCGGTCGAACCGTTTCGGAGGAGTTTGGCAACAAACACCGCGACACGAGAATTTTATAAATTGTATAAGATAAAATATACTCCGGTTGCTTGCAACGGTTTCGACTATAACTGCATCCCCACACACTTATAGTTAATGAGATATTTTGTATTTAAGTACAAAATATCCCCTCGAAATAATGGATAGGGCAAAGCAACGTTTGCCGGGTTAGCTAGTCTAATATAATCTATTCAAAGGACGTTCAAAGCGAAAGATTACCCAAAAATGCACGTCTATGTGCTTCAGTTCCAAGCATTTGAGCTCGATATTTCTTGGCGGTCCGCCAGCAAATTCATCGAGTTGGAATACTCAGCTGATTGGCCGTCAAGGTTTTACTCATTTTGGCACTGTAAGTATAAATCTCTAATTTGCCTAATATTCAAATGTATAGGTTATGAAAATTGTTTCTAGTAACGGCAAAATTGAGATCTCTTTCAAAAATACATTAATTTAGAATTTATACGTACTGGAAATTTTTTGCCTAGCGGAATTATAGTCAATCACAGCTCACAATTGCCTTAACAGAGAGCTTTTAATTTACAACAAGCAACTGCTGCTGTTGAAGCAGTGCTGTTATGCTGCTCAGCTGATTCTGTAAACCACTAAAACTGGCTTTTACAACACTGCATTCATTCAAAATACATTTTCGTTAGCATTTAAAACCAGTGCCAGTGGCTTTTGTTTTGGTTTGAATCAATTTTATTAATATTGATTAAATTGATGAAGCAGTAAACATATTAATTTTGTGTACAATATTATAGGGCAGTAAAACAAGAAATGTGTGGATATTATTGAAATAATTGCACTTTATTTACTTATTGTGAACTAGTGGAATATATGGACTATATCTAATACAACGGCCACGCCCACTATTAAGGACGGCAGCAGTGATGATGCGATATTGATATTGATATTGATGCGACTAATTTAATGACTATTGTTTATTGACTCAGTTAAGAAGCGGAAGAACGGGCTGTTATATATATATATATATA